ATATATATATATATATATATATATATAAAAGGAACGTATTATAGTAAAGCAATTATAAATGATAACTCTAACAATAAGCGTAACAACCGATACAAAAGAAGATATTGAAAATTGCAGACAAGGAGGAGTCTCGGTATAATAATCGGGGCGTGACAGTGAAAGGGTTGCGATCGATATTTTCAACTTGCTTTCGAAGTACTCGTTAGATATTCTCTCTCTCTCTCTCTCTTTCTTTCTTTCTTTCTCTTCTTCAAAGTTAAGGATCGTTCGATCTTAACGATAAAACTTCTAACGAGTTGAGTATACCGAGTTGAACACCTTCGTTATCTGCTACGAATAGAAAGAAAAAGAAAAAGAAAAAGAAAATAAAAGGAAATAAAAGGAAAGAAAAATATTAGAAAAAGATGAGGATGAAGGAAAAAGATGCGTGTAAGGTTGATCACACAAGTGGGACACTGCTACTGCTGCTGCTGCGAAGAAGAAGAAGAAGAAGAAGAAGAAGAAGGGGTTTAGGTCCCGTACGATGACAACGGCAAAACTCGAAACGACATCGTCGGACTTGGCTTCCGGCCATTTCCCAGCTATTGATCCATGAAGCGTTACGACGAAGCTGCCCTACGTGCAATTATAGGTGTATCTTCTCTCTCACTCTATCTAATACTATTCGCCCATTGCCTAGGGTTAACTTATCGAGGTGCAAGGACATCCTAGTTACATAGCTGATTTCCTTAAGATTCTACTATGCAACCGGATATCAACCCTATTTTTGATCGATATTATTGATATCTCAATCAATTTGAGTATATTAACTAATGAAAAAAGAATATTTATTATTTTTCATTAATTAATCTCTATCACGATATATATTTGTATTAGAGATTATTAATTTATATATATATAATATATAATTTATTTAAATACCAGAACGCGCATTTGTATAATTTATTTTCTACGAAATATGTTTATTTATATTTATGTTTAATTAATATTCTCGGCACGATGCGATTTAATTAACTGAATCGTTCAATACTTTTATATAAACGTACGTAATTCGTGCCAAATACGTCGGTACCACAAAAAGAAAAAAAAAGAAAAAAAAAAAAGAGAAAGAAATAGATTTATTTTCCATGAAAAGGAAGAAACATTTCGGTCAGAGTAAAAAGAAATCGGTGTGAACAACTCCAGGTGCGTCAGAGGGAAGAGAGATCGAGGGGGAGTAAGAGGTCCCCTAGTAGTAATCGTCAACAAAACCCATGAGCAGTGACCAGTCAAACAATATACTGGCAGGAATCGACCCTAAACCAAACACGATGCTCGAACGAGACTAATAATGCCGATGCAATAATGAAATTGCACGCGATACCTGGAAATTATCTTTCTTTCTCTTTCTCTTTTTCTTGTTCTTCTTATTTTATTCTATTTTTTTCATTTTCTTATTTTGTTATTCTCGGTATCTAATTGGATATCAACAAGGAGATAACAGACCGAGAACTTTCGTTTTCGACGAAAAAGAAACCGAGCTAATCGATAGAAATAATCGCTCGAGTGATTAGACCGTCTAGCGAACTTATGGCAACGTCCAAATGTTCCCTTTTACGTGAATTAGGTTTTTATAAAAGACAAGATCTAAAAGATGTATACATGAAACGCATATTTATTATTATTAATATTATTAATTTAAAAAATTGAAGAATTTGAATTTGGGAAGAGAAAAAAACCATGGATTTTGATCCAAGTTTGAATCCGGTCATAATTTTATCCTCGTTAAATTTAACGAACTTAAGACAACATCCAAAAATAGTTCTCTCTTCTACGTGAATTAAATTTCTAAAATTATTAATACAAATGTGCCTAAAAAAGCTCGTATTTATTATTATCGTTGTTTATAAAAGAAATTCAAGAATCTTAGATTTTAAACGAGAAACTTGATGCCCGAGTTTGAATCGGTCATAATTTTGGTCTAAAAAGAAAAAAAAAAGAAATACAATGAAATAACCCTATAAGAAGTCTTGTACAATTCTAAATCGTTCAACTTTCGCGTTCTTATCTCTTTCTTGAGGAGAACATATTGATCTGTTAGCGTTTAGTATGTCCGCCCTGTAAGTACGACACGGCGGTGCGTTTCCACGTATTCGTACAATCGATAACCGGGAATTAGTCTGCCAAGCTGTCTCCTACGACTAAGTTTAACGCAGAGCACACATAAGCTTGAACGAGCAAGAACTATATGCTCGCAGGTGTGCAATTGAATTAAATTATCATTTAAATCCATCTCCTATCTCCATTCCTCTATTCTACTCTTCTCTAGAAAATAATTAACGACGCGTTAATCGTGTATTCTTTAAAAAAAAAAAAAAAAAAAAAGAATATCATTCAATTCTTTATAAAAAACAAAAATAATTTTCACAATAATTATTAAACCTTTGAAACTAGTACGTCACACACATTGAAAATGACGATAGAAATTTGATAGAAAACTCGTAGGTCAAATTATTATAATTTCGTTTACTTAAAAATAAATACAACTTGACACGAAACACCATTGAAAATAAATCGAATTCAAAGGGTTGATAAATTAAATGATATTCAATTAAAAACAATAAAAAAAGATTATTGATACTTGGAAGATAATGTTACAACGTAGAAACGTTAAGAACGATATAAAGAAGTCATAAAAATAAAAGAAAAAAATAAAATAGATATGTACTAGGTACAAACGAGGCCGCGAAGCTATTACAAAAGAAAGAAAGAGAGAGAAAAAGAGAAAGATAGAAAGAGGATCACCGTAGTCGGTACAGAGGATCAATACGTCACAACCACGGTCACAAAGAAATATACAAAAGACATTTCTTTACATACGAAAGAGAAACATAGCACGCGTTTATACAAATCTGAAAATACTTACAGTGCATAAAAGGGCTCTCTCTTACTATTGTTTACTACTTTCCTCTCTCCCTGATCATCCTCATATTTTTTTATTACACAAAGATACTAGTTTCGATCTAAGAACTTTATCCTAAATATATGTATAATAATTAATTATTAATATAATTTAATTTCTATATATATACGTCCAGTGTAATTAAAATTATCTCATTTTTCCTCTCTATTATCTGTAGATGTTATCGTCGTATTCCAACTATAGATAATATCAAGAAACATTTGGTATAGATAAAAAAAAAAGAAAATGATAAAGCTAGAAATTGTCTTATTTTCATATAACTTTCATTTGTTAATAGATATTTATTTATTTATTTTTTTTTTTGTAAACATTTTAGTATTTTTTTTATTCAGGAGAGCATCTTCACTGAAAAAATAAACACTGCGACACAATAACATAAAACCTACATTTTTCAAAATAACATTTCAGTTAGAATATCATTAATTAATATTTAAAAATATATCAAAATCTTAGCTTATAGTAAAACACATCATTTAGGATATACATACTTTTGTGTATATAAGCAGTTGAATAATATTAACCAAAATATTAATTCATTCGAATTAGACAAACCGTAAAATAAAAAAAAAATAAGAAACCATTGTCAACGTGGGAACGATTGCATTGTATTCCGCTTGACACGATTTATAAACCTTCCTGCAATAGCTTATATTTAATGGACTCTTATGATATTAAATATGAATTAATTGGTTGGTCGGTTAAGTCAAAACTGATTAGTGGTAAGATTTCATTAAGACCACAACTACCACTAGTGGATGCACCGTGGTATTTGACTTTTTCTTTCATTAATGTTTACCTAACTATACCATGGATAGATAAACCACATGTTTGTGCACGTCAGCAAAGGATTCATTTCAAAAAGTCAGCTACCTCTGCCAATTCCCTAGCACGCGCCTGCTCGTGTGCCCAACGATCTTCTGCGAGCTTTTCGCTGACGCCCCATTTGTCATGATAAATGCGCTGTGCACAAGTTGGACATTTTTTACCCCCTACCGAGAGCAAAAATGTCTATAGAATATCATATATAAAAAAATAATAAAATAATTTGCGAATAGCTCACCATGGAATGGCGGTGTCTTCATAAATTTTAGAAGACATTGTAAGTGAAACAAGTGACTGCAATACAACCTTTCTACATGGAGGTCTGCTTTTTCGTCTATCACTACTTCTTCTGGATTGGCCGGTAAGCAAGCTGCCTTGCACGACTGACAATTTTCTCTGGGCAATGTTTTCACCGATCTACAATCAATGTTTATTGTAAAAGAAACTCAACTCATCAATACATGGCTGTTGCAAAACAAATTAACTTACTTTATAAGGAAGGAAACAACGACATTTAAGGAGGGAGAAGGTACAAAGGCTTTTTGCCGAGGTCCTGGCTTCAGTGGTGGTTGCACGCATCTTCTACCTAATTCTTTACCTTGGCCTAGAAAATAACGACTGAGTACGGGTGGAAAGTTTGATTCTGCGTCTCCTAAGCTAAATTGAAACAATGATCGGTGTAACATAACATATAATTGAAAAATTACAAAAGTAAATCCAAAAATTAAACTTACTTTACACTATTCTCTGGATAATCGTTAGGTACTTCAATCTTAACTTTAAAATAATACAATCCTTGTTGAATCCGCAATCCAATGCTAGAATTCTTCTGCTTCAGTTTAAACTCGTCTTGCTCTTGGAGCAATTTCTTTATGGAAGATATCTCATCGTAACAACAAATCAGAGGATTTTCTTCTATGAAATTACGAATAAACCTTAAAGTAGGTAATACCTTGAGAAATATGAGAAAAATAGTTTTAGAAATGTTTTCTTTATATAAAATGATAAAAAGAACATCGACTCATTGTTATTTACAATTAAAACATACCTGCGCTTTCCCCAACAAATTCTTACACTCTTTCTCGCAGACTTCTGTTAACTTGGCAAGTAATCTCTCCGACAAAGTTTTACTCTTAAGCTCGATTAAAAGTGGGACGGAAGGATAATTTTCTGGGAATTGAATGCACACGACGATCCTCTTGAACACTGTCTTCCTGAAATGTATCAAACGTTAAAAAAGTAAATTTATTCTAATACATGTGTATATACGCATTTATAATAATTAAAAAAACATAAACTAACGTTATTTCGACGCGAACCATAGTCTGCACACAAGAAACGAGGCGGCTATTATTGACGACATTATGACAAAGTTTAGATACTTCGTGCAATTCATCATCGATAAATCCCATGGACAAGATCAATTAAATGTGTTCTTTTAATTATAGACTGTATTATTATTAGATACAAGAATAATAACGTTAGATCACTGTACCAAACTTGATACCATCGTAGTAGTATGTAATAGATACATAACAAAAGAACATACACATAACCTTAAAATCGTATCACATGAAACCCGAGATTCACTTGCGACGTAATAAAAATCCAATGCACCGATACTCTTTTTATACTATTCGTTCGTAATAATTCGTGTCACCTTACCAAGGTCATCCTGGATTTTATGCAAACGTTACCTTGTCTATTTGTTCACTTCGATAAAGATTCTAGAAATAAAACAATTGTTATATCGTTTATTAGGAACGAACGATCGATATATAATCGATATCGAAATAATAACTTTTATTCTCTCGACTATTATTATTAATACGTTAATAAAAAGAAAACAATTCTTCACCTTTATTTCTAACGTATTCTAAAAGATGCACAACAATTTCTATTTAATATCTATTCAATGTTTAAAGCTACGTGCTTATCAACCTATGCCATCATGGCTTCCAATTTTCCCGCCTAACGATAGCAAACATTTGAAAAACAACCAAGCTCAAATTTTGGCGCGTGTTTTATAATCGCCGAATACTTTTACAAATCATTTTCACAGACTGTTTATTATGAAAATGATGTAAGTCTATTATTTAATAGATTATAATTTAATAGATATAATTATATAATATCAATGGTTTATTTTTAGTTAGTGAAAATTATGTGTTTTCTCAATTATGCTTACAAAATGAACTTATACCACTTTCGTAATATATAAACGCACGTGTGTATACAAAAGTTATGTAAGATATTAAATATGATCTATATGATCGTGAAATATGTTAAAAATTATTTTTAGAAATGTAATCTATGTGATGGATGTTCATACGTACGTAATTGAATTTGTCTTAGTGTGTGTAATAAATCATTTAAACATTAATAATTATATTATCTGTAGAGAGTAGTCTATTGTATTAATTTCCTTCGATTAATTAACAATTTTTTTAATACTCTAATGCATTCTACTTATATTACAGGAAAAGTTTACCCTCGAAGTCATCATCACTGCGCAAGAGCGTTAAAATAATTATGTAAAAATGAAGATATTCGTCGTATAGACATACGAAATATAAATTTTTTCGACATATACTATATTTTATGAATGCAGACTTCTCACACGTACATGACTAATTCAAAATCGTTAGATTTAATAACAAATCTTTGATATTTTTTTCTAATTGAATGCCTTAAATGATTATTTTTTAAAATATATGTTTAAATACATTTCTGAAGGCACACACATGTATATACACTAAAAATTTAATGTCATTATTTAAAATTCTATTACAATATAAATATATTACATACATATATTGTCATATACAATCAAAGAATGTACTGTCATCGCTTTAAGTACTTACTACTGCCCACTGGTCGTCAGGTTAGTAACTAAAATAAATTTGGTTAGAAAAAAATGGAGTTGCGAGCTTCTATGTACTTCTGTATTCTTTGACCGTGTTAAAACACTCGTTTCGGTGAATCTTTTAACGAGGTTATGTTCGATGAGAAAAAATAGTTCAATTGAGAAGAGGATGTGTAAAGAATTTTAAGTAAAAATTAATGAATTAAGTAGAAACAATGGAATTAATTATAACGAGTGATAACGTTGCCGAAAATTGGAGTGCAGCAGCATGGGATCCAAATACAGGATCACTTTTATCAACCTACAAACATGCAACACCTATCGCAAATAAGACCTTACAAGTTTTAAGTGATTGTTATTTATTGGGTGCAGATTCAGCTAAACCACGATTACACGTATGGCCATTGAACAGTCAAAGGCCAATTTCTAACATCAGATTAACAACTCCAGGAAAAGTGTCCGCTTTAACGTCCACCCCGGATGGTTCTTACATCGTAGCCGCGATTAATGAAAAACTGTACGTTTGGCAGCTTTGTAATGGTCGATTATTAGCGATAATAGCACGACATTATCAAATGATAACGTGTTTGAAATTTACCAAAGACAGTTCGATGTTCGTTAGTGCCGGAGAGGATGGTTTGATACTAGTTTGGTCATTGTTCAATGTAATAAACAACGAGGAACAACGATCCCATCCTGTTTATTCCTTTTCAAATCATACTTTGCCGGTGAAAGATCTTTACGTTGGCCATTGCGCACCACGTGCGAGGTTATGTTCCGTTTCGTTGGATCATACCGCAAATATTTATGATCTCAACGGCGGTAAATTACTTGGTACTTTCGTATTCGATTTACCATTGACCTCGGTTTGCATGAATGCAACAGAAAGCGAATTATTCGTTGGTACAACTAGCGGTTTAATTTACAAATTTTATCTCCACGAGCCACCACGAGGTATAGAACACCACGTGAAAATCATAATAAACGATGAAGCGGATGACAACACCATCTATCGGGGACACGAATCAACAATCGTTTCTCTGTCGGTATCGAACGATTGTCGGAATCTACTTTCCGCGTGTTTAAATGGAAAAGTGCATCTCTGGGACGTGGACAATCGTGAGATTATTAAAACCTTTGCCCACAAAGGACAAATAACCTCGGCATTATTTTCGAAACGTTTTAACAATTTTCATATACAAGATTTAAAACCTTCGTTGCAAATTCATCCTTTGCAAAGGGTATCGGAAGATAACGCAAAGGAAAATATCATCGATATCACGAGAAAAGGACGAGATACTTCGGATTTTTTAAATTTTCATTCTTTCGTCGAGGAAGAATCTTCTCGATCGGATATAGACAAAAATACTACTCGTAAATTGGAAAATTTGATGGAAGAAAATAAGAAACTTAAGAAGATCAACGCGGATTTATACAAATGCGCCGTTGAATATGTTTTAAAATGTAAATCATCGACCAATAATCTACAAGATCAATAAACATTATTTTTACAATTGAAAAATAATAAAAGATTATTTAAAAAAAAAATTACTCTATGAGAGAAAATGATATATCCCTTTTTCATTTTATTATTACATTGATAGAAATTTAGTAGAAATTAGGGATTACTCGAGATGTAATACCTAGATTTGTTTGTTGATTTAATTTTAATTAATGAATACTGAGAAAAGGTATTACCCTTTCCCTAATTTCCTTACTCTTTCTCAATTAATTCGCAAATAATATTTCATTTCTAAATAATTTCTATCCTACGTGTATATTTTAAATTTTATTTTCTATCGTTGTTTTCACCGATTGAAATATAATATATATTTTTTTTTTCTTACGAAGAATACTCATTTTAAGAAATAACGTTGAATTTAGAGACTAGAAAAATACAACGAAATAAATGAACAAAAAAAAAAAATCGGCCAAGTTTCCACGAGCTGTAGGAAAAAAAAAAAAAAGAAAAAAAACAAGGAAGAAAATAATGTTATTACTAGGTGCAACGTTAAATGTAACATAGGATCCCTTATTAACGTCATTTTCCTATATCCTTTGTATTTAAATGAACTAAGGGTTAGTTAGGTGCACGTATGTAAATGAAACAAGCTCATAGACAAGATAGAAGAATCGTGTTTTACAAGCAAATTAAGGGAGTTTAACTATAGTACTAACCAGTTTGCATATAAATTAATCGTTCGACTTAAACGGAAGTCTATGAATCTATTCGAATTAAATTTTTTTTTTCTTTTTTCTCTTTTTTCTTTTATGGTTAATGTTATTAATAAATCATATCGATGATCGAGTTATATTTAACTCGATAATAATAAAACAACAAAAATATCTAAAAAAAATCGATTAATTGTTGAGACGTTGTAATTGATCAATCGATCAATCGATGATCGATGAAAAAAGGAATAAAAACAAACTAAATTGTCACGTCGGCTAGATTAATGCACCTAAAATGTGTATCCTAACAGGGAATATATCGATGAGGATATGTCACGTCTACAATAATAATACGTTATAAGCTGTCGTACAATCATGGGGTCACGCTTTATATAAATCTACGCGTGATCCGATAAAATAACGTTACGCGTCCTAATTTCTTTTTTGTTTTTTCTGTTCTTTTCTTTATTTTTTCTTTTTTCTTTTTTTTTTTTTTTTTAACGTAAAATCACCTTCGAAAGGGTAAAATAAATCACGATTTATTTCAGTCCGAGTTATATTCGGATATCGAACTATCGAAATTCTACAACTTAAATCACGAATAATTCCTTTTTTTATGCAATCAATACGTTTGTGAAAAAAAAAATCATTGAAAATATAACGGAAAGGAAAATATTTATAAATAATTTTTGTTTTTTACAATTTGAATTAATCGTTTTGATCCTACTCGGTTTTTATATATTATTGAAAAATAAAAATAATAAAATGACAGTTAAATAATAAATAGAGCTAAACATTCGTGTATCTTATTTAAATTACATTAAAATAAATTTCGATTATTTTCTTTTTAACCGCGTGTAAAAATAATTAGAAAAAAAAAAAGAAAAAGAAGAAGCGTAAAGAAAAAGAAAGAGAGAAAATCTCGGACAACACCGGACAATTGATTTTATTTAATATTTTGTTCTATTTTTTTTTGTTTATTTTTTATTTTCTTTTTATTTCAAAAAAAGTATACCTCTCAGAGTTGATCCATTACTTTTTCAAAAACACCCTTTTATAAAAAAGAAAAAACATTGTACCTCTATACACAAAGAGATCCAAAGGGAAAGAGAGTGAAAGAAATTTTTTATTAAATTCACATCATCGTATTTGGTACGTCATGGATATAAAATCTAACATAGGTAAGCAGTGGAACGCAAAGAGGAACGCGTTTCACGATAGTTCCAGTCTAAGGAATAAAGAAAAAGGAAAAAGAAAAAGAAAAGGAAAATAAGAGAAAGAGAGAAAGAAAGAGAGAGAGAGAGAGAAGGATGGTTGCTTGCTGAGATGGTAGAAACGCAACAACGAGAGAAAGGGATGTGAGGGAAAGGAGGACGACTTAGGGGAGGTTGTATGTTGTATGGGGGGTGTATGGGGGGTAGCAACCCTCTCGCAAAGAGGATGGAGGCGGTTGGTATAAAATCGGACGGGAGATACCTCGAGACATCCAGTGTTGATGCGTTCTCCATACTCTGCACCATCTTTCCTTTCTTCTTTCCTACATCCCCTAAGAAAAGAATAAGAATAAGAAGAAGAAAAATAACAAGAAGAAGAATAAGAGAAAAACAAGAGAAGACTAAAATTCAAGAAGAACCGAGAAAAATATAATAGAGAGAGGGATATCTTCTCAATTTTCAAAATGTCTTATCATCGAGTATTTCTTCCATTGATCTTACTGATATTTGCAATCTCCATCGATCGTAAGTTTTATCAACGAATATCATTAAAAAGTATTACGATATCGATTAATAATTAATTTACATATGCATACGCGTATATATGATACGTTTATAAATCAATTAATTAACGTAATCGTGAATGAATGATACTGTGTGCATGTTTCTCAGTTTTTTTTTCTTTTTAATATTCTTCATTTTATTTGATTAAAAATTAATCAAAAGTTCGCAGGGGTTCGATCATTCTTCTCCGTATTCTGTCAACTTTTCTTTTTTTTCTCTCTCTTTCCGTGAATCGTTTATTATGTAAAAAAAAAAAAAGGAATTCTTTACGAATGTAAAAACGTTAAAGTAAACTGTAAATGTGAGAATATTCCGGATGAAGAAGGGTTCTATTGTTTTTTTTTTTTTTTTTTATTAGTTTTGTTTTTTAATATCAAACAAACGTGTATCTAGTTAGAGGAAGGATAAAGAAAAATACGATAAATTTCTTGGAAACAAACGTTCAATCTCGTTTTTTTCTCTTTCACTTTATACGATCTTATGGGTTTACATTGAATCGCTAAATATATCTCACTCTTTATATGGTTTTAATGGATAGAAAATATATATATATGGTGATATTTTATTTTTAATACGTTTATCTCGGAATAAAGTTGTGCTATGTCGAATATAAAAAGGGCTTTTCATCAAAGATTCGTTTTTGTTGTTGTGCATGGGCGCGCCCGCGCGCGAAGGCGGAAGAATGCAACTTTCAAATGTATTTTCACAAAGAATTTTCTTTATTTATCTCTTTACCTTTGCTTTAAAAGAGATAAATCATAGAGTATTGCAGAGGTTATTCTATTGACGGATCTCAAAAATTCCACATTCGATACAGTTTCCACTTTGAACGTTTTCTACAAAGAATACAAGTATTTCTTTGTAGCTTGGTATGCATTTCCATGTTATACTTTTAACCATCTTCCTATCTTTCTCACTATCTCTGGTCCATTCTTTTTCTATAGTATATCCTAACATTCACGATCGAGAAACAAAGATTTCTTTTGTTTTTTTTTTTTTCTATTTTATCTATCACTTTTACCACTGGATTTTTATTTTCTTTTTTTTAATCGAAGTATTTAAATTATTTTTCTATTCGCGATCACGTAAACAAATATTTTCCTCTATCGCTCTAACAATTTTATCATTTAAATAATTAAAAAAAAAAGAAAAAAAATATTTTCATTGCAATAGATTTGAAAGGTTTTTGAATTTACAAGTCACTTATTCAATTTCGTTGTAACAATTTAATTCGCGAATCGAGTAATAGGATGATATCAAAGGTAACGTTGACAACATGTATACACTTTGTACACTTTCATAGTATATATGTACATTTACATATATCGTTACACCGTATACTCGTTCGCATTTTTCTCTTTTTTTTTTTATTTCTATTCGCGATAGACAAAGGTTAATACACTTTTATCTCTTATCTATATTTTGATTTTCCAATAGAAAAGTTTCTTCTTTATTCGTATTTTTATTCTTCAAAAAGGATAAACCAAAAAAAAAGAAAATATTCCGATAGAATACAATCGATATATACAATCGAATCATCGTGATACATTAGGCCAATTTTTTGTCTTAATAGTTCGGCCCCGAGTTTCGTGGTAGCGGTTTTCAAATTTTGTTTCCCACGCAAATTCTAAAATCTGAAATAACCGTAAAATATTAAAGGCCAACGTTAACGTTCATTCGTAGTTTCAATCTGTCGCATATTGATCGACAATGGACTTTAACACAGCAAGAGAGAGAGAGAGAGAAAGAGAAAGAGAAAGATAAAAAATGTTACTAAATTGATACGAGCTGTATCTCCTACGGCATTCGATATAAAAAATAAAATATAAAAAATAAAAAAGTATTCCCACGTAGAGACCGCGTATAACCATAGCATTGCAAGTTTGAAAGGTTTCAACTATATCAAGGAAACACATAGATTCTCCCGTTTCCATCCTATTTTTCGTTTCTGTATTTTATCGTGCACGGATATCACCGTATCCACCCCGTTCCTCTTTCTAATTCTCAATCAATTTGGTTGCATCGGTGAAATGAAACGAATCGTCGTCGTCGTCGATGTTAGTGGAAAAAAAAAAAAAAAAACAAAAAAAAAACAAATTTAATGATTCGTAAGCGTTAGACAAATAAAATCTCGTGCCAAGTTAATTTCAACGGCTTGGGAAAACTCGTTAAAGGACGCTAATTAGACGCGAGTATCTTATTGACCTACTTTGATACTTTTTTGATATTTATAAAAAAAAAAGAAAATATATAGGTGTGTATATATATCGAAAGAGAGAGAAAATTAAAAAGAACACGGCCAGTTTTTATTAGCAGCTGTGTTGGTTAATTATTTCTTTTTTGTTTTCTTCTTCCCCTTCTTTATCTTATTTTTCTTTTCTTTTATTTTTTTTTAATCCCCGTATAAAAATATAGATACTACGTACAGAGGAACGAGTGATATTAATTTTTGATTTAATTGCAAGCCAATTTTTCAATCTAACGTACATTTTGCTTCAATTTTTTCTTTCATTTTGAGTACATTTGGGTAATTGCATCGACGTGTTTTTTTGATTGGCCAACGATATTAGAAGAAAAAGTGATTGTTGTTATTAATGAAGGGTTTGTATGTGTTACAGAAGTACGAAATGAAAAAATTAACTGCAGACGTTCGTCGGGATTGGTTGCTTATCCAAGAATTGGAAGAAGCTCCGAAATGACGGAATTTCAAAGAACGTCAAGACCAGTTGGTATTATCCCTTATCCGCGACCTGGACGATCGAATTTACCATTGTTTTACATCGGTGCTGATCGAAAACACGATATGGGTTCCATCAACGATTTAGAAATTCTTCCAACTCGTGAATCCGAGATTGAATCTACTTACGAACCCGAATACGACGGTAAATCATTTACAAATCAATTAAAATACGACAAAAATTGTTTCATATAAACAAACGAAGAAAAATAATAATATAATAATAATAATAATAATAATTAATAAAAAAAAACTTGTGCGCGTGTTCGCGTGGTTTGTTTTTTCTTTTTCAGAATTTCATCCAGATTTAGGAGCGTTCGTGAGACACCTGGATAAAATTTATCCTAAATTAAAACAACACGAAGATTTACAATCCCACAATCTTGCCTTACGTACGTTTTTAATCTTATCAAAAATTAATTATCAAATCAATGTTTTCTTTTTCTCTACTAGGACTAGAATTTTATCATATATTTTTCTTAATTATTTTCTTTTATACTTTTATACAAAAAAAAAAAAAGAAACAACACACACATACACGCATATTCATCACTACTAACATTCTTGACTAACTTTTTATCGTAATTATCGTTACTAATATTCAAATGGGGAAAAAAAGAAAGGAAAGAAAAATCATTTCGTCAGATGAATAAAAGCGTAGAAACGTTTGACATATTGCAAATCCTTATAGATATATATGAGTAAAAACATATGTGTGTACACGTGCGTGTACATATATCGATTAACATAATATAACGCGAAAATGTTCGGTGGTACCTAGAGAAATGCACTAACGGAATTAATCTTAGCACGTTGGGTGGGATGTTGGTTGGCAATATGGCAAATCCGATACACGGTACCTTCACAATTTAGTAGGCAATTAAGTGTTCCTAGTGGCTAATGTGTGGCACGATAAATCAACGTAGGTCATTAGTTTCCATACTACTATCCGAAAGCGCATTCTCCGTTAGCTTCGTTCGATCCTCTTCCTCCCACTCCACCTCACCCCACCCCACCCCACTCCACTCTCTCTATATTCATCTATCTATCTATCTTTATCTAATTCTCTCTTATTCAAGATATTCACTATGATCGCGTGACTTCTCTGGATGGGAGGATGATCATTAGACATCGTTACTAAAACCGTGTTAAGCTATCAGTTTTAATAGATTGTTCGAATTTAACCCTTTCCTTCCTTCCTTCCTTCCTTCCTTCCTTCCTTCCTTCCTTCCTTTCTTTCCTTTCTTCTTTTTGAAATTATTATTTAAAAAGAAAAATCATTTGTTTTATTTTTCTCTCTCATCGATTTTCTTCCTTATCAACAGGTTCGTACCCACGTCAAGGACAAATAACGTGGAGTCTACCGAGAACCGGAAGAGATACTACCGATCACGATCCTCCAACGAATGTCCTTTGAATTTGATCCTGCTGGAAGAATTTCGTGATTTTAACCAACATTTAAACGAAGATACCCCCGAAAACGGTGAAAATTAATTTATTGCTGACAGATATAAAATGAAATGAACAAAAAAGAAATTAAAATAATAATTTAACGGCGGGGAAGAGGAAGTGATTAAAATAATAAAAGACAAATAGAACGAATTAATATGACGATATCCGAAGAAATTCTTATTTTGAATCATCTTATCGTAACTTACCTCCGAGTTTTATTCCTCCTCCTTTTTCCTCCTCCCAATTGGTCGACTTTCTAATTCCCATCTGATATCTGATACATTTTATCTGAATAAAACTAGAGTACACATACATACATACACATACACAGACACATACACGCATATATATACATGCAAGAAGAGTTTTCAGATTCGTTAACGTATTAATGCACTTGCTCGTAAACTTCTCTCGTTAAAACAAAGGTATATAACGTATACGAGAAAGAGTAAGAAGAACAAGAAGAGAGAGAGAGAGAGAGAGAGAAAGAGAGAAAAAAAAAAGAAGTAGAAGCGGGACCAGGTTGTTTCACGAAAATTACACATTCTATTATATTTCTGTCTCTCGTCCTTTGTCCCAGTAAACCTTCAATAAATTAAATACGTAATGTGTATGGCCTGGAACGAAACAAAAATCATTACCGAGGTAACAATGATCCCTGCTATTATTCACGATTTGCTTTTCCCTAGATCGACTATACGTTCTATATCACTGTGCACACTTCTTTTAATCAATGAAGAAATTAATTATATATGTGCTGAAAGAATATAATAAAAAGAAAATATATATATATATATATATATATATATACAAAATGAACCATATTGTATCTATATCAAATGACTATGACAATAAAAAAAGATGACAATGATAATAAACAATAAGATTTCTAAGATTGTGTTGGAATTTTTGTAAATGACATTCTGTGATAATCAAAAAAATAAATAATAATATAATATTAATGATCAAAGAGTGACGAAGATTAAATCTTAAATTATTAACGATTAGTATCTACTTATATCACTCGCTCTGAAGCAACCCTTAACGAAAGGGTTAAAAATAATTACAACAACAACAACAACAGCAGCAGCAACAATAATAATAAATATAGTTCTGATATATATATGAAAACAAAAAGGTATGAAAAGTTTGACAAGTCGGCGGTATATAAAATTCAATCGTTTTATTAATTGACAAAGTGTTCATAATGAATACCGATGTATCTCCCACGTGGATTCGCGTACGCTAACTCACGTGGACTTGACACCGAGATTACGTGTCTCGTAATGCGTGTTACGTAATAACAAATATGTACACACGAAGATTATGTAACAAACTAGTGATATACTTTGAGAATGAATGTAGAGGGTTCAGGGCGGAATAATAGAGGTGGGGAAGTGGAAGTGGTGGTGGAAGTGGTGATGGTGGTGGAGAAGGAAGAAGAGTTGAGGGATGGGAAATGGGGATTAGGACCGGAGACGGAAATGAGAGTGTGTGGGGGATGATTGGTTAGGGGGATGCAAAGGTACGGAGAAGAAATAATCGGCCGTGAAAGAAGGAAAGATACTTTTTCTTCATTTTTATGTCTTCTTCTTATTCTTCTTCTTATTCTTCTTTTTTATTCTTCTTTCGTTCGTCACGGTTATCGATTCGTTCGATGAACTTTGTTGGAGGAGATCGCGAACTATGTACAAATGTCCCATTGTCATTTTCGGAGACATCGACGACTAAAAACGGAAACTCTCTTTCTCTCGGTTTTTCTTCTTTTTTTTTCTTTTTTTCTTTTATATATATATATATATATGTATATATATGTATATATATATATATATATAAGTATTTTCTTTTTTTTTTCATTTTTTTTCTTTTTTATTTCCTCATCTCTTTTTTCTCCCCACTTCTCTTTCTTATCATTTCTTTGATCGTATCTCTTCGTCATTTGGGTTACGAGATATTCTCGGGCACTCACGCAAGCAGGCAAGGCGGGCAGACAAGCGGACAGACAGATATTCAAAATTCAGAGACAGGTGTCAACCTGACACGTAGCTAAAATTGCTCCTTTTCTGGAATCACCGGTTCTCTTCGTGTCTCTGTCCTGGAATCTCGAGAACGTCATAATACGGTCTTTTCTCTCTCTCTCTCTCTCTCTCTCTCTTTTTCTTTTTCTTTCTTTCTCTCTTTCCTTCCTTTTTTTTATATTTTCCTTTATTTCTATATCCCTCTCTCACATACACACACACACGAGCTGAGAATAAGTCTCTCTGTTCATTTTTTAGCTCTAGGATCAGCCTTGGAGTCTCTTTTATCGGCTGAATGTAAAAGACAGACGGAAAGAAAGGAAGAAAGAAAGAAAAAAAGAAGAAACTCGTGTTCAACGAACCGAGACGATGACGACAATGACGACGACGCGTGGCATCGAACGAGTTTCAACGATCGTTCTCGGGTTAGATTATTTTTCGTTAATATTCGCGCACAGGGAGATATCTCTACCCGAATATAGGATAGAATTATTCTAAAGAGAGACGAACTCGTGGGGTGGTTGAATGATTCGCGGGGGTGGGGGCGGGGATAATCTCAAATCGACGTCGGTCAGGGAGAAGGCGGAACTTCCGTTGGCAGTGACCCTCGGGCCCATATTGTCGTAGGGTGAACCAAGATCCGTTGCGTTGCGAAGGGCTCGTCGAGGAAGCGTCGCGAAACTCGATACACATGGGGTCGAAGGTAAAGCGGCGACCGTATTTTTTTCGGTAACGCCACTGACCGCACCGTGGACCGGAATGTCGAGTAAGTCCGGGTAACAACGTTCCGTCGAGTCCTGGGGCATAGAAACGGATATGAAGATGTTGCCGAAGATACCGGCCGGCAAAACACCCGTCGTAAATTCCGGCGGGGGCGGGGGGAAACCTGCGGGACAGGGTATGGCACGACACACGTTAGTCGAATTGCTTATCTCCGGTCTAAGTCTTTCTACCGTCACCGTAGCAGCTCCCATGTGATCACAGATAGAAACACGCTCGGCCAGTTCGAGGTCACCGGTGCTACATGCCTCGGCCAAACTGCCATGACCACTGGCACGATCGTTCGCGCTACCAGCCGTCGTAGTCGTCACTGATAGATCCAATAATTTCTTTTCTTGATCACCGAAGCTCGTACTTCCTTGCAGTTTGACTTTTTCTCGTTTACCGTTGCGACGACTGCCACCGCACAAACAGAATGCCAATAATATGGCCGAAACTGAAGCACCTAGAGCAGCTGCCCCGCCCCCAGCTAGGCTAACCCAAAGCAACCAATTGTCGCTCTGGGACAATGTCGGTGCCGTGTAAATACGTGGTATGGCTACGCTTACGGTGTCCCTCGCAAGGCCAGCTATGTTTTTTGCGAAACACGCGTATTCTCCTGCGTCCCCGTCGCTCGCATTGTAAACAGTTAAATTGCTCCACCTGTCGGCGGTAACTCTTTCGGATTTCTCGTTATAGACGATATTCGTGTCGGAGGATACACGAGCTACGTATGTACCTACGTATGTTTGATCGGAAATTCTGGTTGCGTTAACGGGACCGCCGTTCAATTGCCACCATACTTCCGGCTCCGGATCTCCGGATGCCAAACACGCGAGACTCAAATTACCGTTACTCTCCTCTTGGATTGTACTGGCCAATACGATTACCTCCGGTTCACAGGCAAATTCTCCTGGCTTCACTTCTTCCCATTTTCTACCTTTCAGTCTTTCAGGCGCGAAACAAAACTGTGACACGGAATACAATTTGCTCGGGGTCTCCGGTATCAACCAAGTACGAAATCCACGTAATCTGCAGTCGCAACTCCAATGATTGCCGTCCAAGGTAAGTGTCTTTAGACGTGGTAAACTCGATATAACCGGAGCGTCCAAGTACTGGAGTTCGTTGCTATCGAGTTTGAGAGATTCCAAGCCTGCGAGTCTGACGAAGGCTTGCCCGTGTATCTCGGTCAAGGAACACCTCTGTAACTCCAAAGTTCTAAGGTGTTGGAGAATCGGAAATTGATGGCTCTTGAGCATGCCCAAAGGATTACCGCTGAGTATAAGAATCCTAAGCCTCTCGTTACCGAGGAAAGTCTCTGCCTCGAGATTTTTCACGTGATTGTCCGAAAGATCGATTTCTACGAGTATCCTCATGTCTCTGAACGAGTCCGCGTGTATCTCGTGAATGCCGGCGTTTCTCAAGAAAACTCTTTGTAGATTCAACAAACCGGCACGCTTGAATATCTCCGATTGTAGGGCCGGTATTTTGTTGCCAGATAGATCCAACACTTGCATGTCCGGATCCAAGGAGGCTGGGAGCGAGGTCAGTCCAGCATCCGGACAAAGGGCTGACTTTTTTCCGGAGGTCCACTTGCATCTGCAAACGGCAGGGCAATCCGTCCAATCGGGAAAAGCTGCCGCTTTCGATGGCAACGCGAAACTTCCGACGAGTAAGAATAGGGCGAGTAATATGCGCCCTCGTAGAGGGTGTTGCCTTGTCACTAACATACTCCTCCGGCAGTTCAGCTTTCTCGTGACACGGTCACCAACCGACCGTTGATATTCTTCGGTTGGCTCGACGTAGACGAGCCTGCGAAAAAGAATTTAAACGTACGAACAATGAAAATAGTTTTTTCTGTTTCTCTCTATTTTCCTCTATACTATTGCACATATAGATACGCGCGAATCAATTGGAAGCCGTCCGTGGAGGGTTGGAAAGAGAACAAAAAAAAGAAAAAAAGAAATAGATAAATCCAGACGATATCCGAGCAACCATAGAAACGTATCTTCGATAAAACTATTAGAGAAAAAGGTTCTTCTCTGGCAACTATATACTGCGGGTATAAATCTAATGTTTACTTTTATTCATTCCCAACGTCGTATCGTATTTTCAAACGTTTCCTATCTCGGAGTCTCCAATTATGCTTTAAGGTAAAACTTTGATATAAGAGGAAACTAAAGGTTGTATCGGTAACGAAGCGCCTTGTTCTTACTTTGTAAGAAGAATGTTTCCCTTGGGCACGGCTAAACATGGCCTCCACGAATCTGAAAGAGGCCGTCATGCTTGCGTGGACGCTTCCATTGTTTCTCAGGAGCTTTCATTTTGCCCACCGGTCCTTCGGGTATCGCGAGGCTATTGTTGCCGGAGTCTTGGATTTCATCCTGATTAAGTAGACTCAATGCACGCGTAGACCGGAACTCGGCCTACTTTTGAATCCACGGATATATCCTTACGGCTTAAGCTGCAAAATAAAGAAACTAGAGAGAAATAAAATCATTCGGATTTATGCAACCGATTTAACTTTCAAGATAATACACGTGACGATATACAAAAGGAATCAAATGAAAAATAAAAAAGAATGGAAGGTAGATAGAGATGAAGTGAAAGAGAGAGAGAGAGAGAGAGAAAGAGAGGATGATAGTCATTCGATTATCAGACATAAAAGATAAAAAACAAGATTCGTTACCTAATACGGAAGCAATCCGATTTCCAAAAGAACCACATCGTTTCTCCTCTCTCTCGAGCTTCTCAAGTTTCTACCCATCCTGTCAACCTTCCAGCCTTCTTGTCCGAGCACGTCGACGCGTTAATCGTTTCACGCTTGACGTGATTTCTTTTGTCTCGGAATCACCAGTTTAACTTTCAAACTCATCGCCTGTGAACGAAGGAAAATGGACAACACTGCTTACGTCGATTATATCAGAGAACACAAAACGTCATAGGAAGAATAAACTCTCTCACACTCTCTCTCTCACACTCACTCACTCACTCACTCCATATATATATATATATATTCTGCATAGGATCGCGCGCGCGCGCGCGCGTATGCGTATGCATGTGTGCGTGACAGAAGTCTGCGATAGAAGAAAGAAAAGGATAGAAAACAGGAAAAAGGAAAGAGGAGAGAGTTCTTTGACCTTCCACGTTGGGAAAAAAAAATGAGTAGGAGTAGGAGGAGAAGGTGGATGAGGAGGTGGAGGTGGATGAGGATGACGACGATGATGATGAAGGTAGAAGAAGACACTGTATATCGGGCACGTTAGGTAACACGGTCTGAATACCGGGGGACACGAATAAGAATGTTGAAGAATAGTTGTGTGTTAGATTTTTTCTCCTCTCATCGACCTGAAAAAAATTGCAACCGTTTGGGTCCCATCGGTGTGTCTAACAAGTGCATCACCGATCGGGCCGGCCATCGACCGCAGCGCGACCGTTCCATTACATCACGGCTTGGTACTTGAATTAATGCACGAACACATACACATATAGCTAGAGAGAGAGAGAGAGAGAGAGAGAGAGAGAGTTACACACACACACAGACACACACGAAGAAAGGATAGAACTAGTGCCGTGGTATCGTGGCCGGCCAACCAATCGCGCTCCCGCTTATAACCTCCCTCGAGCCTTAAAGACGAGCGTACAACGTTTCACTCTCGAAATTGCAAGCGTTGGGGACGATGATGATGCTGCGCAACCGTCGGTGAATCTCGGGAGAGATGGGAGCAGGGCGGTTGACTGTATGTGTGTGAGAGAGAGAGAGAGAGAGAAAGGAAAAATTAAATATTTCCCCGTTCACCCGTTCACCCTCACTAATTCTCTCTCTCTCTTTCTCTTTCTTTTCTACTCGCGTACACTCCAGAACATGATAATATTTAAATGTAGAAAGAAAAAAAGAAAAATGACGCGAACTGGATATTAATGATATATATAAAAAAGATCAAGTATTGAAGAAAAAATAAAAAAAGAGAAGAAAGAACGATCAATTTGTTATCGTAGTCTCTTCGGAACTATGCCACTTAAAACACACTGTTTTTTTTTTTGGTTTTTTATCACACGAAATATAGAAGATTATTATTATTATTATTCATAATAATATTATACATGAACGGGAGAATCACCGTTTATCCTCACCAGTACGAATCGTAAATTTGTGTATGAAATATTCGTGAACGGTCGATGACGTTTGTTATCTCTTTGAAAAGAACAGAGATGACAAAAATTAACTTGTTGTTAATTAATCATTAACGAATTAAAATGATATGAAGACTCGATGGTCTTCTTTCTTTCTTTCTTTCTTTCTTTCTTTCTTATTTTCTTTTTCAGAATTTTCTGTCGAAATCAATCAATCAATCCTCTCGTGTTGGTTTGAGTATCGTGCAGGCAGACGACGACGACGACAACAACAACGACGACGACGACGACGCGACTCCGCGGAAATGGCGAGAGGCGTACGCGGTGGTTTCCATGCTTTTAAAACGGACCAACGAGACCAATCCGCCGTCGGTTCCTCCATCGAGAATCCTCATCGTCTCTCTACCTGTCTCTCTGTAGAACACCGGAACGGTGAGCCACGGAGAAAGACCGACTGAACCAACGAGTGAGAGTGAGAGAGTAAGTGAATGAGAGAGAGAGAGAGGGAAAAGGGAATCGAGTATGTCACTGTCTATCTCTCTCTCTTTCTCTCTCTCTATCTCTCTGCTTATTTCTCCCCTCTCTCTCTACCTCCCGGTACGTGTCTCTTCTTCTTCTTCGTATGTGCGCGCCAGCAGCCAGTAGTATCTCTCCCTTCTTCTTCTTCTTCTTCTTCTTCTCTAACGATGAGAGTAACGGAGAGAAAGAGAGTGGTGGGAGATATGAAGTGGCAATCGAGAAGAAGAGAGAGAGAGAGAGAGAGAGAGAGAGAGAGGGAGGGAGGGAAAGAACCAGTGTCGTCGTCCTCCGGCAAAGGATTTAGAACTCGGTGGGAGGGGGCTGGTTGGTTGGTTGGTTGGTTGGTTGGGTCTGCTCGCACTCGAGGCTACTTTCGTAGTCACGAATAGGGTGGTTAAACTCTCGCGAGAATAGAAAGTTGCCGAATATAATCCTTAAAAGAAAATACGTGTGCGCACAGTCGCGTCCACCGTCGTTGCTTATTTCCAACTTTTGCCACGGAAATCTGCAGATTTGCCGCAGCGGACCACCGACACGATGGATCTGCTGTATCCGCGTATACCGAAAACTCCTCTCTCTTCTCTCTCTCTCTCTCTCTCTCTCTCTCTCTCTCTTTTATGTTCCCCTCCGCAACACACTCTGCCCTTTCCTTCCCTTTCCACCCTATCGCATTCTCTCGCACCTATCCACTCTCGGCAAATCCCCCACTCGTTCGACTTCGAATCTCCCCCCCCTACTCCACCCCTCCTTCCCATTTCTCTATCGCCCTCACCTTTTTCTCTTCATCCCTTAGATTCTTCTTCCCTCTCTTTCGTATTATCGTGAATTTCCTTGGCGTGGCGCATAGTCGTCGCGAAGCAGCACCGTCGAATTCTCTTCTCTACGTTCAATGAAAACCAGCAACACCTTCGATACCACCACCACCACCACTACCACCACGCACCAGTGGCGACCAGCCACCCTTCTTCATCTAATTCCACTACGAATCGTTCCACCCTACGACACCCTTACGAACTTCCTCGAACAACGAATACTTTGATCGAACCTCCGCCAGGCGTCGCATCGGTCGGATGGTTTTCAACGAAGGGTTGTAACCCGATCGACCACGAGTTACCCTCCCCATGAAAAAGCGTCGCTACGATATTCGACTTACCTTTTTCCAATATTTCTATCGGTCCCTCTAGGTTGTATTCTTTCCTAGCAATGAAAATCAATAAACTCGTTGTTTCTCCCTTTTTTTTTTGTTTTTTTTTTTTTTTGTTTTATTCGAGAACAACTTCAACCCCACCAACAGGCGCCGAGAAATCTTGCTAACCGATCCTCATCACGATGCTTACCGACCCAGTTAAGGGTAGTTTCGGTTAAAAAACACTACTACCACGTCGATTAAGGTGAAATTCTACTACCATTTCGCGGTACTGATGATTCCTGCAATCGATTTATCTTATAATCCTTCTTGAACACGCCCTTGATATAATATATTATTCGGGTCAAGAGAAGGAACAAGAGATTCTTATTTTTTTCATCCGATTGTCGACGTTCGTAGGAAGATATATATATATGCTTACTTTTTTACGCTTACTACATTTCTGACTACTATTATCTACTATTTTAGTTTTTCTTTCTAATTTTCATCTAACAATAAGACTAATTATCTATCCCCACCCCAAAAAAAGAAAAAAGTAGAACAATATCTATCGATCTTATACTTGGTATTTACATTTATGATTAATCAAAGTACTTGTAATTGATTTATAGACAAAAATATTAGTAAAATCAAATCAAATAAGAGAACAAATTCGATCATAATTCATTTAGGTGTGCAAATAAATTGCTTTAAGTCTATATATGTGCAGATGTATAGGTAATATCCCATGAATAACTATTAGGAACTATTATTATCTAGGATAAATTTACATATGTATATCTACAAGTGTGTAGAAACGTTCTTTGGGAATTAGGAGCTTGAGTAATATCAAATGCATAAAATAATGTATTCGTATTTCTTATGTTAATTAACTAAATTTTTGTCTACGTTCGTCAATTAAAATAGAATGAAAAATAATAAGAATAATGGTCGTAATCGAAAACTGGGAGGAAAAAATTCGTTGCTTCTTTTTACTTTGTTTATGCATATGAATCTCTGTGTGTGTGTGTATGTGTGTGTATCTTATTTTTTCTTTTTCTTTTTTTTTGGCACACGAAATACATGCAACGTCACGAGACACCCACCAGGATCCGATATGGAAATGAACTTTTATTATTGCACTTTTTTTTTCTTTTTTTTTCTTTTCGCTAATTACACTCCGATTAAAATCGAAGCACGATCTCGCGCATCTTCCCGAGTAAAAGAAGAAGAAAAAGAAGAAGTAGAAGTAGAAGAAGAAGAAGAAGAAGAAGAAGAAGAAGAAGAAGAAGAAGAAGAAGAAGAAAATATTTTAATTTAAGCAGCACGCGGTTTTTCTATCATAGAACACGTGAGTCTAGTTGTACATATTTTATTTATACAATTCATTCCTATTCTTTTCTTTTCTTATTTTTCCTCTATTTCTTATCCCATCTTACCCCTTTCTTTCTTAACTTTTCTTTTCTTTGTTATAATATTTTTTTTTTCATTTTTTTCTTTTTTTTTTTTTTTGACACAAGGATCTTGCGCTTTTTCAAAGATTTTATTACAAGAATATAGTATAAACTTTCGTTCGATAAGTACGCACACCGTAGCGCACGAATTTTTATACATTTAATCGCATCTCTCTCTCTCTCTCTCTCTCTCTCTCTCTCTCTCTCTCCTACTCCCACTTGCATTCTCGCGCAGAGGCCACGATAGTCATATAGCTTCATACATTATATTATATTTTGTGGTAATTTTTATCTATTTTTTTTTTTCCTTCATTTTCTTTCGGTTTAACCTTTTCCACCTTTTTTTATTCTATTTTATTTCTCTCTCCCTCTCTCTCTCTCTCACAGACACACACACACACACACACTTTCTCTCTCATTCTTTCATTCTCTCTCTTTTTCTTTTTTTCAATAGTTTACGGTATATGTATAATAATATATTTTTATGATCTTTTACCTTATATCGCGCGTCTATTGTATTAGCTATAGGTAATATCTGTTTGTATGTATATGTACGCATGTATGTATCTATGTATGTACGTGTTTATCTGTGTATGTATGTATACGTGTATATGCGTCAGTATTATTTTATATTTTTTGGTATGTTAGTTTTTATTTGTTTTTAATCATCATTTTTTGTTAGTTTTTTTTTATTTTTCTTTACTGGAAACATACTTGGCAATTCACGTCTAATAAGTGTACAACGAAGCATTTTTTTTTCTTATAATTGGTAAATTTTTTTTCATTTTTCCTTTTTTCTCTCCTCTCTCTCTCTCTCTCTCTCTCTCTCTCTCTTTATTATTTTCTTTATCTTTTCCTATAATAATCATCTCACCACCATTACGGTTTTCTATATAATCATCGACCACGAAAAAATTGGGGGCTGCTCGATTAAACTTCACCGTGGTCAGAATTTCAACCTTTATTTTCCCCCGTGCCCATCATCCTCAGCTTTATTCGACGCCCTGAAAACGCCCTGAAAACGGCCCTTTTAATACTCGCTTAGTACGTTTCAGCGCGTGCTTTGCCCTTTTTAAGGTGCTTACTGAAAAATGCGTGCGTACGTGCGTGCGACACGTATCTCTCTTTCTCTCTTTCTCTCAGATATTTTCTCACTCTCGCATACACACACACACACACACACATACATTCATACAATTTTTCTTTCACACTCTCGTACATCCATCACATAAACGCGTACACCGAACTTCTCGTTTTTCTTTCTATTATTTCTTTCTTTCTTTCTGTCTGTCACATACTCGTTCCATTCATTTAAAACGATCATACACAGAATCACGCAAAACACACATACACATACACATGTTCTTTATCTTGTTTCGCTAGGAGTACCGTAGTCGCACGCGTGCAATTGATATGTCAATGGTTTCTTTCTCACAGCGAAGTTCCAGCTCGTCCGAGGGAAAGCGTAGTTATTCTTTTTTATTTTATTTTCTTCTCTTCTTTTCTTTTTTTTTCCCCATAACTCTTTTTATCATATCCCTGGTTTCTCATTATTTTTTTTTCCTTTTTTTTTCTTCTTATTTGTTTTTTTTTTGTAATATATATCTATCCTTCTCTCGCATACTCTAGAGACAATTTGTTTTTATTCCTTTTCTCCTCTTCCAATCCTTCCCCCTTTAGTATATTTCTTTCATTCATTCATATTAAAACGCATAACCTCGTCGATCATCGTAGTGCGTGTAGCTCGTAGCCTCTCAGGGTTATTTCCAGCTGTTGGCTGGAAAAAGTATGAACGAGAAGTCGTCAGATGTTGTTTGTGTTCTCCACCTTCTCCTCCTCCTCCTTCTCCTATTCCTTCTACTCCTCCTATTCCTCCACCTCCTCTTCCTCCTCCTCCTCCTCATTATGAATTTCTTGTTATCCAATAAATGGTCTCTCTCGTAAGTAAGTTAAATAACGATCATTTCATTTCTCCCATCTATTTATTTGTTTGTCATTAACCACAAATTGGGGTATAAACAATTATAAATCGTTTCATAGAGATAAACGAGATAGAATAAAATAATCGTTAAAACTCACTTGAGAATAAGACCATTTTTTCTTAAAAGCTTACCTTTGTAGTACAGATCCCTGTTCATCGTTGGACAATTTTTATGCTGAAAACAAAAAAAAGAAGAAAAGAGAGAAAAAATGGGAAGATAATTGAGAATATTGTTCTACGTAGATAATACTATTCTACGGTTTATTACGTGCTGCCTATCGATATCGAATATTGATCATCTATCCCATAAAAAAAGAAAAACAAAAGAACGAAATTATATATGAATGAATGACTGACTGATTGACTGACTAACTGATTGACTGACTGATTGTCTGATTGAATGAATGAATGAAAAAACGAATTAACGAATGACGAATGAATAAAAGAGAGAGTGAGAATGAGAGAATGAGAGAGACAGAGACAGAGATATATATATATATATATATATAAAAAAAAAGAAAGTAAGGAAAGATTATTTGAAGAAATTAATCGTACCTCCACGCTAAAATCGATGTTAGTTCGAATTGGACGATGGTGGAGCGGTTGAATCGGTCTAATGTTGTTCCCAAGCTTCGCATTTGGATGTTTCATGTCACCCTGATACAACTGCCGTAGCGCATGGAGCTGCGATCACACGTGAAATCGGAAACGTGAAACCGTCTATCAGGACTGAAGTAAAATCCTCATTCCCATTCCCCCATTCCGCATTTGCAACAACAACAACAACAACAACCAACCCACCCACCCACCCCCTTTCCCAATGGTTAAATGTACTTTCGTTAGATCGATACGCGTTTATCATGCGCGCGATAGGGAAACAAAAATTTACTAGATGATAGATAGATTCGTTTGCGCCCTTTAAAATTTTATTCTACGAATAAACAGAGAGAGAGAGAGAGAGAGAAAGAGAGAAAGAGAAAGAGAGAGAGGGATAGGTTTTTGTTTGTTTTTAAATACGTATCCGGAACACGACGGTATTATCGGGGAAAAAAAACCGTGC